TCTCATCAGACTTCGTATAGCGTGTTGAGTTGGCGGGTTACCATGCTTCCAGTTCAAAGATTGTGACTTTTTCGACAGATTCCACGTACATTGTTATTGTTCCAGTGTTTAAATTATCCAGATTTTTGTGGATCTATTTACAAATATCATCTAAATAGAATGGCTTGATTGGGATATATGGATATGTAAGGTATGGCAGTATTTTTCATGTTTTAATTTCAAGTAAATATGTACTGATTGCATAAAAATATTGATAGGGATTTATAAAAAATATTTTTTTCTTGAAGGTGATCTACAATAACGTTGGTGTGGAAAATATGTTTTTTACTTACAATTTTTCGAAATATTACTATTTCTAACTGTTTTCAAGTGGACTCTGTGCTAATATTGTAGATATTTTCTTCAATATAAAAATAAATGACAAAAAATAAATAATAGCACGGGCCTAGTAATGAAGCCTAGGGCTTGACCTCGTCAAAATCATCGTGGATTCTTATTCCTCAGCCGTCTTTTACGCCGTTTTTTTTTCTCGATTGCATGGTATAAAGATTAACTAGGGTGATGTTTCAAAAGAAAGCTTTTATAAAATAAAATTAGTATTTAGGTTAGAAAATCTAAATTCTGGCACATGGAAAATTTTATTTAAAAAAAAACATAAGGCTTTATTTTAAAATACTACGCGTTAATGTTTTTGAAAAAAAAAACTATCGATTTTTTATAATGCCTCAAACTCTTCGAAGATACTTAAACAATATTTGGTTAGCAAAATAAAAACACTAAATCACCACAATACACTAAAACACTTTTACTTTTACACTGGACTCGGTTTGCTAACCATGTTAGCATCATCAGCAGATGATTATAAACTAAAGCTCAGTGGGCACCGAGTGGGCGTGGCAAAATCTAGCCAACCGAGTGAGAGCCCACTGAGCGTAACAGTTAGATTTCCGCTACTAGAGTAGTAGGAACAAAGAACTTGAAGGACTTGGACCGTTGTCTCTGTTCATACTATCTTTACATTTATTAATTGTGATGCTTTCATATGCATCTACTTGCCTGTAATTTTTGGTACCGGTGATAATCAAATATTTGGTACCGGGTGTGTCTCAAAAGTGGCTTCCTTTATAACTTTTTTATTTTTTCACATAAAAAAAACAAGATTTGGTATTTGGTATGTTAGTATAGACATAAATTAGGATTGATTGACGTATTCAATTGTTTTTGGTCACTTCTTGCTTCACCGGAAATTACTATAACTTTTTATTTTTCAATGGCAACCTCGGTATTTTTTACTTTATTCGATAGAAAATGACACCATATCATACGTCAACTTTTGACATTTTCGCTTAAAAAAATCGTATTTTAAATTACAATCTAGAGTTAAAAACACTTATCTTTAATTAAGGAGCCTTGGAAAAATAAATTTGATCGTCTAATGTTTTTCGTGTCTTGTCCTGGCCGACTAAAAGATGCCAACGATCGTATTTTAGTCATATTCATCTTTTGTTCAAATGGATACAAGGTGGCCGTCATGAGCATATTGGAAAAGTATTCTTTAGCTAATATGGTACCAAAGCCTGGTATTCCCGATGTCACAATTTTTCGTTATGAAACCTGCATTTAATTTCAAATAAACAATATGCGATATATGATACGGCATTCTATCAAAAGTATACATTTCTGTCCGATAATGTAACAATAAAGAGGTGGTGTCATTTAATAATCAAACAGTGCTTATGCTCATCTTCTTCCGGTAAGTACAGGAAGGTGACATAAACATGATACGTCATGCGAATCCTAATTTAGTTCAATACTGACACAACAAATGTTTCGCTGTTTCTTAACTCTGCAAAAATAAAGCCTTATATGGGGTGTGCCACTTTTTGAGACGCACCCGGTATAGTCTGTACTTAGTATATTTAAAAAAAAATATTCCAGTGACACTTTTGTCTGTCATTTTTATCTTAACAAGTTGTTTGTCGAACTTCTTCCTAGCCAAAAGTGATATCAAGATATAGTTATTTGGAATACTATTACTTTTAAAAAATAGAATTCAGAGTTTGCAGGACTGGCTGGTCTTAGAGTTATGTCTTAGCTGGGTTACGGAGATCAGATTATCGCAAATTAATTACACTTATTCCACTCAGAAGACAAAGTTTTTTCGCTAATTACCTATGATTATGGGGTCTACCTATATCTCTTAGTCAAATTTATCTATAGGCATTCTATGATTCCCATCTATGTTCTTTCCCCTAAAAACAACTCATGTTTTCACTAATGCAATCTGCCTGTTCCACTGTAATAAAATGGCTTTTTTATGTAGAGGTCGTATTACTTAACCTTAGCAGCGAGCATTGAATGAAATAAGTAGCCTGGTGGTCCCCCTGCACCATATTATAGGTATTTTTATATTCGTTAGTTTTTTTCTTATTATTCAGTGGCTCGGCGAGTCTGCCTTTGGGTTTGCTATTTTCGTGTGTAAGTATAGAGTAAGTATGCCAGTAACGGTGCAGTAACAATACATTCACTTGCAGAAATATTGTTACGGCGTTTTTTCGTCGCCGTTCCGGTGGGTAGAAAGTCCTTAATTACACAATATTTACATAGTAAAACTTAAAACAAAAGGGATAATACTACTTTAAAGATCTATATCAATATTAACTATTTATCGTATACAACGATTGGGTTGTTTTCTGGTCTC